TTCTATTCACACAGATCACAGTTTATATATTGTGTGATTATTTGACTCCTATTTTTCACCCAATGTTATAATTCTGGGATGGAAGGATTGTGTCTCTTTGGCTGAGCACTTTAACCCTCATGCCCAGCACAGCGTCAGACACCAAGTAGGTGATCAATATTTGCCGAAAGAATAAATATTTTTCTATGTTACTATATGGTCTTCACAGATATCATCTAGTAGCTGCATAGCACCTGGTAGTTCTCCATTTAATTAAGGGCTTTCATGAAACATTTGTTGCCTATGTCAAGAACTGACCTTGTAGGGTCAGAAGAAAAAAATGTTTAAAGTCCCTGGATCAGCAGTATCAGAAGTCTGAACACACTAATAATAACATCAGCCATGTACACGCTAAGCCTAATCTTGCTGTTGAGAGAAAAATATATATAGATTACAGGTTTCGAAATCAATGGAGTGGGTTGTGGGCAGTACTGCTTTTAAAAATAGAACAGAAGGGGTAATGTTAAATGCTTTGCAGGTGAGAGGATAAGAATTGTTCTGTATAACTTTCATATATATATATAAACTTACAAATAAATATATATATAAAATATATATATATATAAAACTTTTGTTTTCATTTTACATAGGTATCTGCGGAGAATGTCGAAGTGGGCCTGGGTTGTGGTGTCAGATGTATTTCTCACTGCGAGTTGCACGGAAAAGCACGGAGACGGGTGGCTGGCTTTGGGAGTCTTGCACCCATGTCAAGCCCCAGGTATCACCAGATGGGGTACTGGCTCAGAGCCCCGCACGCTCACCTTCCCGCCGTGGCCGATGGCGAGAGGGCGTGCAGGATTTGGCATACAGGAGACCCCCAAGGCTACTTTCTTTTTCAATAAACTTTTTATTTTGAACCAATTTTCGATTTACAGAGAAGTGGTAAAGATAACGCCTAGAGCTCTTGCACACCCCTCACCGGGCTCCCCCCAACCATCAGCGTCTTACGTTACCACAGGACGTGCGGCCGAAGAAACCCTCACTAGCGCGTTGCTAGTCACTGAACTCCAGACTTTCTTCGGATCTCACCAGGTTTCCTTCTTTCTCTTCCAGGACCGAGTCCAGGATCTTGGATGCATTCAGTCATCACGTCTCCTGGGTCTCCTCTGGTCTGTGACGGTTTCTTGGTCTTTCCTTCTTTGTCGTGACCTTGACGGAGGAGTCCTAGTTAGGTATTTTGTAGAATGTTCCTGAATGTGGATTTGTCTGGTGTGTTTCTCATGATTCGACGGGGGTTATGGGTTTAGGGGGAAAAAAACATCATGCAGGTGAAATGCACGTCTTGTCACACCCTATCAGAGGGCACAAGATACCAACATTGCTCATCACTGGTGATGTTAAACTTGATCACTTGGTCAAGATGGGGTCTGCTGGGTTCCTCCCCTGTGAAGTTACCATTTTTCTCTGTACTCTGTTCTTCTGAGGCAAATCACTAAGACACTAAGACCTACTCTCAAGAGAGTAGGGGGTGGGGCATGTCTGTCACACTCTATCTCCTGGAGCTGGGAGTATCTACACATCTCATTTGGAAATCTGTAGGGAAGATTCGCCTCTTCTCCACTTACTTAATAATTTATTTTTTTAAAGATTTATTTCTGTATTTGAGAGAGAGAGAGCACAGAAGGAGAGGGAGAGGGAGAAGCAGACTCCTCGCTGAGCAGGGAGCCTGACTTGGGGCTCTATCCCAGGACCCTGGGATCATGACCTGAGGTGAAGGCAGATGCTTACCCGACTGAGCCACCCTGGTGCCCCCTTAATAATTTATTTAAGTATGGGCTGATGTATATTTGTTTCTTATTTTGCATCATAATCCTAATCAGTGTCATTTATCTTAATGCTCAAAGTGTTCCAGCTTTGGCCATTGGGAGCTCTTTCAGTGGCTCCTGTGTCCCCATCCTGGTGTTTTTTTCTAGTACTTTCCTTAGCCAAGGCAGCTGGGGGGCTGCGGGGTTTGCAGGCGATGCAGAGGAGGGGGCGCATGGGAAGCTGCTCCCTGTTCCCTCGGTTCCTCAGTTCTCTTCACCTGCAGCTCTCTGGTTAGCCCCCCACCATTGTCTGATCTGCCCTGGTCAGAGTGCAAAACGTTCCTCAGGCTGATTGTCTGTTCCTGGCGATCTGATTCTGGAAGGCTCTCCTACCCACACAGAATGGCAGGAATTCCAAGTGCCTGAGTTTGTGCCAGTCAAGGTCTGGCTTCCCAGACTTCTGGGGGTATCTCTGCCCCACCCACTCCCAACTCTGGATCTAGCCAAACATCCCCTTTGACCTTCCCGAGGCTGATGTTTCAGAGTTGGCTTTCACCGCACCTGCTCTCGCTGGTGCACGTCCAGTAGGTGCCCTTGCTTCCTGGAGAAGAATGTAACCCCACCCTCTCTGTCAGGTTTCTCCTCTCCGAGGCTCACGCCTCTGCCTGGGGCTGGACCCTGTGCTCTCCCCATCCCTGTCTTTGGTCTGGTGCCCCCCACTGGCCCCTGTTGCTTGGCCTTAAAAGGATCCTCAAGTCTCCTGTCCCTGCGCCAGCCTCCAGCCAGCACAGCATCTCTCTGCCATCCCCTCAGGCCTCTTGAAAGAGGACACTCAGCCGTTCCTTTTCCTTGACAACTGGGCCACACGGAGCAAGTCGCTGGGAGATCTTTCCCACAAAAGGGGTGACAACTGGTTTTGATGCAGTGGGACGCATGGATAGGGACGTTGAGTGGTCCCACCCTCAGGCAGATCCCATGGTGATGAAGTGCTGCCCCAGGCTCTGGCTTGTCTGGGAAGGCTCCCGAGAGGCAGCACCCCATCTGGGCCTGGAGTTGGGGTTGAAGGAGAGGAGGGAAGCCACTCCCCACAGGTCCTCCAAAGTTGGTGCAAACAAGGGGCATCTGTTTCCAAATCTTGTCTGGTCCATGCTTTTTCTTTTTACCCTCACCCTGTAGGGAGGGCCTTTGTCCAGGGGGACAGCCACTTTACTCATGGAACGTCGGGCCTTCTGCGGGCTCACACCTCCAGCACCGCCCTGCTTCCCACATTCAGTGATTCATGAGCTCCTCCCGTTTCCCCTCACTGCATCCTCCCAAGGTAAGTGGGTGTGCCCTTCCCATCAGTGGAACAAAAAGATATTCTTGTTCATGATTTGGGAGACGGCTTAGCCCTGCTGCATCATGAGTCTGTGTTCTGATACCCCCACTCCAGCTGAGCTGGCCTCTGTCATTATTCCCCAATGCTGACTTCTGTCTTCGACACTGCTGAGGACAGCCCTCACCCCCACCCCCACCCCTGGTCTTTGGAACTCAGCTGGTGATAGTTATGTCTCCTCCAGGACCAAATACCCGTCCTGGCTCTGAACAGACTCACTTGTGCTTACAGACCCTGGCGAATTTTGTGTGTGTGTGGCCTGGCCTATGCTAATTCATTCATTCAACAGGTATTTATGGAGGATTTTCAGGCACAGCTTTAGGCACTGGAGATACAATGATGAACAAAAAGACATGGCTTCACAGAGTTTCCAAATGTGCCTGGGAGACGGATATTAAACTAGTAATTTCACAAATTTATACTGCAAATAATAAGTGCAATATGGGAGTATGGGAGTTCACAGTTTGTCTAGGGCATTAACAAAGGTTCCACAAGGAAGAGACAGTTTAACTGAGATATGAAGAATGAGTAGGAATTGACGAGGGGTGACAGGAGAGGAGAAAATCTTCCCAGAGGGTGAGAGTAGCATGTGCAAAGGTCCTGGGGCTGAAAGGGGGGATGGTCAGTTGGCTAAGGGCAGGAAGAGGAGAAGGAGAAAGAAAAAGCTGGAGAGGGCAGTGGAGGCACCATGGGGCAGGGGCTTGAGGCATGTTTAGTATCTTGGTCTTTATCCTAAGGACAGTGAGAAGGAAGCCACTGAAGGATTTTAAGAAGAGTGACATGATCAGATTTGTAATTGAGAAAATTACTGACCACAGTGTGAAGTATAGGGGATGGGTGCCCCCTGAGGAGACCTTGGTGGTTAGCAGGTAAACTTGTGGCCCCAGAAGAGATGAGGGTAGGTTTGAGATGGTGGCCCTACTTCATATGCTTGTTCCTTTACTTTTTTTTTTAACTGTCCTGAAATGGCAGGTTTATGTGGGCAGTGTGTTCTCAGCAGAAGACGATCTGGTGGGAGGCCCTCAGGGGCAGAAGGTTAGCTTAGTCTTAGTGCCAGCCTTTGGTAGGGAATCAGAACATGATGTGTGGACAGGGGATTCAGGGACTGCTCTTCTTTAAGTTCCTCTTTTTGCCATCTCAATTTCCCTTGCTCTAAGAATAAAACCAAACTTAATTAAGCCCCCTTAAAAGCTATTAGGCTAATTGGGAGCCCAGCCCCATCTTTCCCCGGGGAAGAGCCCAGAACACCTGCTGCAGGTGCAAGGATCCTTCCTGCCACGTTGGCTTCCCGGAATTTCATGGCGGCGGCTACCCTGAGCCACCAAGCCCGGCAATGGACAAGAAATGAAGGTGGGCTTCAAGGAGGGGCATGACCGTGCCCATCTCAGATTCTGGAGACCTGAGCTCGGGTCTGAAAATGTGACCTTCGGCAACTCACTTCCACCGCGGGGGCCTCAGTTCCCTCTTCCGCAATCGTAGGGTGGCCCCCAAATCCCTCCAGCTGCGAGCGCGACTCTCGGTCCCGCAGGCGGGATGCTCGCCCGGAGGCACTGCGCCAAGCCCCCCCCGGGCGGGCCAGGGGCCGGGGCGCACCCACGCCGCCCGCCGCGGGAAAGGGGCCGCGCGGAAGGCCGGCGGCGAGCGCACGGCGGCGCCGGGGAACGGCCCCCACGCGGCCGCGCCCCCCGCCCTTGGCGGGACGCCTCGGCCGGGGGCCCCGAGGTTACGTAAGGAGCCGGCGCGGGGAGCGGGGCGGGGCGGGGCGGGGCCGGAGCGCGGCCGCCC